GCCATCCGGTTCGTTTCAACCACCTCTCAGCCTCCCACTTGTCACTGGCGTCCTGGATCCGGGCATCGGCCTCGCTCTCAAACGCTTGTCGGGCCTGTCGCTGTATGGCCATGACGAACTCGGCCTGGCGGCTGGCTTCGTCTTCGTCGGGCCCTTCGTTGCTGGATGGGATGGTCCGTCCGACTTCAAACCAACTGCTGGCCACGCGGTTGCGGAAAAAACGCTGGCATTGAACGCCTGTCCTCCACGGCACGGGCGGTATGGCTGCTTCGGATGTGTTGGTGTACCGGCCTCGCTTGCGGTTGTTGACCCAACCGTGCTTGTCTCGACAATGCTGCTGCATCCGTTTGATCTGTCGGGCTACATACGGGCATTGATTACACCCCAACCCGTCCTCCTTTGGTGGCGGGATATGGGGGATGGGGGCTGTTGTTGGGGGTGGGACTAACCAATCTTTCAACTCCTTCTGATTGCGAATAATGCCTGGGATTACTTCTACCGCGGCTTGGATCTCCTTTAACTTGACACTCGCTGGTGATCCGGCATGCTTTGATGTGATATGCCGGGTTACTTCATTCCCAACGCATGCCACTCTGCACGCCTGGCAAATCACGAACGGGTATTCGGGCAAATAAATAAACGGCTCCATCTTGATGATGTTTATGTATGATGTTTACGCTTTACTATGTTACCTTGACTGTCTTGTTTTGTTCTTTTTGGTATTTGCTTTTTGCTGGTTGCTGTGGTGGGACTGGAACTTTAAATCTAACCCTTGCCTTGACTGACCCTTCTGCTTGGTGTCTCTCCCGCCTGCACTGACCCTTCCGCGGGCTCCACTCTCGACGTCCTCAACCCAATATGTCTGCAACTTCAACTGTATCGCAACGCTTCAATTTGGGTTCTTCTGGTCTGTAATTTGGAATGGGATATCTCCTGATTGATATCTTCCTGTGTATGTATTTTATTTTTATTTTTACTGTCCTGGTTTTAATAGAACTCTTCGTTGATATTTTCAATGGAACTCTACCCCATGTCATCAATAGCGCGGTTTCCATTTGTATGGGTTTTTAATAGACCTCTTCGAAGAGTTCCTACACAGATTGCGGATAGGCTTCTTATTTTTAATAGTAACTTTATCTTTTCTATAATTTAGTGCTTATTTCTATAATATTTAGCTATAATATAAAACGGGACTTTTTTATTAATTTACTTACTATTCTCCTATTCTATATCTGCTATTTTATATATACTTCTTTTAATAATAATAACTATAATACTCTAATTGTCTTTTTCTTTTATATTAAAACTGATATTTATATATATTATTACTTAATATTTTAGTTTTTATTTTAACCCTACTATTTATATAGTTATTATATATATTATTTACTACTTAATTTTATTTTATTTGCTATATTTTAACTACTCTTTTCTACATATCTATTTTACTACTCTTCTATATTTATTTATTATTTAACTCTTTCCTACTCCTCTATTCACTCCCCCTTTAAATATATCACTATTTAATATATTTAACTTACTTAAATTACACCCCCTACTCTACCTTCCTATTCTACTACCTCCCCTAGCTATAATTAATATCCTACTTATATTTATTACTTTAAATTACTCTCTACTTATATCTATTACTTTAAATTACTACCCCTACCCTATATTAATAAACTCATATATTAGTATAAGTATTAATCTATATGTAATTTATATATATAATAATAATATATTATAAAATACTAATTAATAAATAATATACTAAACTTAATTATAAAACTTCCTGCACTTATTTATTATTTTAATATATACTCTAATTACCTTATGTATAAATAAATAACTTATATTTAAATAAACTTTACTTAATTTAACTAACCCTAGCAAACTTATTTAAATTAATCCGCCCCCTATCTAACCTTATAACTACCCTATATATATCTAAAAATACTCGCCTAAGAGTTATAACTATAATATAATTATGTATTTATAAATTTAGTTTTATATACCGGAAAGTAGTTAGCTCTTATAATCTCTTAATATACTATATTAGCTTGTCTAGTAATATAAGCCTATTTATCCTTTATTTTCCAAATACTAGCCGAGCTTATACCAACTAACTCTGATATTCCCTTTTCTTCTATATATTAATACTAAAGATATTATTTGCAAGTGCCTGTAGTTATATACTATCTTATATTATTATTATTATTAGAAGTACCCAATTTCTATAGCTATACTTACTCTATACCCACAATACTATATACTAATTATATAGGAGTCTATATTCCTAATAGTATAAAAAGTCTGTAAATTGCAATTTCTTCTACTACTGTAAAAAATCTTAATAATATAGCAGTATATACTATGTGCAGTTATGTTTATAATATTACTTATATTCCTCTTACTTTCTATAAAGATACTACTTAATAAAGTATATATTACAACTAACCCCTAGTAATATATTAAGCTATTTATATAGTACTTTAAGATGGCGGGTTTCATTCTATATATGTTTCTATAGCTAGTTGATTAACTTATCTTTCAAGCTCTAATCCCCATTATAACTATTATCTCCTCCTCCTCCTCCTCCTTCTTCTTCTTTTACTTCTTCTTCTTCTTCTTTTTCTTCTTCTTCTTCTTTTTCTTCTTTTTTTTCTTCTTCTTCTTCCTCCAGCCCCAAGCTATAGCAATTATAGCACTTAGCTGCTAGCTTATTACATCACCGCCCTTAACCATCAAAAAACAAACCAAGTATAAGCCGGCAATATTACACGCCTTTAATAAATGCCTCCATTGCCTGCCGGTTTTTGTGATTAATATTACTACTGCACTTATTATAGTAGACTAGCCTGCCATCTATTATAATAACCAAGTCTACTACTTTCCCTTTCCGCTACCTACTACAGCCCATCTGCTACACAAAGTCGACTAACTTATATGGCTGCTGTATATATACAATTGCGACGATACCCTAAATATTAATACCAGTCCCAAGCCCGGTTATAGCTATAATCTACTGCTAACTGCTCCGGCCTGCAATCCACTCGTCCAGAGCTTCTTGCTTTTACTTACTCTACATCCTGCTGTGATATGCCCTATAGCCCACTCGTGCTGCCAACGCCTCGCACTCGGCGATCGACCGACAATAGACCACCCCCTTCTGCGACCCTTTTATCTGTGCCTCGATCTGCCCTATCACCGCTATTACCTCCTCCTCTATCGCTGCCTTGCCCTCTTGGCGTGGCTGCTGCTCCGTCACCTAAACTCTGTAGCGGATGTTGACCCGTGCCGTCGGCGCCCGGATGATGTCTGCGTCCTGCGCTAGCATCTGCTGCCGGAACTACGGCTCTATCGTCTTCGGTAGCGTTGCTGTGAGCATTACCATTGGATATCCGTACCGGTGGAGCCCCACGAGTAAGTTGAGCTGTTCCTGGAAGCTGATGTCTATGATGAGTGTGTGACACTCATTGAAGAATATCTTGTCTAGAAGCCCCCGGCCGCGGATGCTCTTGATATACTCCGTGAACCCTCTGCAGACGGCCACATCGGCGCTGACGACCACGAGCCGAGCATCTCGCTGCCGCTCCTCGCGGTTGTCGTCGACGTCGGTGCGCTACTATATGCAGTCGATGCCTAAGTCCCGCGCCCTTGAGACTAAGTCTTTAGCTAATGCTACAAACAGCACGACTACAATGTTGATCGGGCCGCCCGGGCTGCGCTCCTCCTCGAGTAGAGCCGGCAGCAGAAAAAAGATGCTCTTGCTGCCGCCCGTCGGGAGCACTACAATGAGCATCTCGCTCCGCACCCTATTATTCTTTATTGCTATGATTTGATATATGCCTTCCTGCTGCTCCCGAGACCTCTAGCCGGTACCCTCTCTGAGTATTTTCCTGAGTCCTGTGTCGATTTGCTATGGCTTGAATCTGGCTTGCGTGTCGTCTTGTTGATAAGCTACAGTTGCCATCTTCTCTCTGCTCTTTTCTTGGTGGCCTGGATGAATTGCTATTTTTGTGCCTCCCTTGTCGGCTGCTGTTGCTGGAGATCTCTTCTGCCTTTTGGCTGATGGCTCTTCGAATCTGCTATTGCTGTTATTATAACGACTACAATAACAGTTGCCCTTGCCCTTATCCATGTCTGTGTGCATGTTCTTATCTACTTTCCTCTTTACCTCTCTAAACTCCCCGTCTATCTGTGTAAGAAACTGATGCTATAGCTGGCTGATCTTCTGAAAGTTTGAAATTATCTCTGGCTACAGCTGCGCCGGGAAGAGTGTGTTGACGGTATAGTAGCTTATTGCTAAATGACTGCCGTGTGTAGACTGAATATCCCATATGTATTCGATGCGTTCCTGCCTGCGCGACTCCTCTGTTAACGGGTCTACCAGATTATTGCCATTATCCACGCTACTACCACCACCGCCGCCGCTAACCCCTTCGACCTCGAGCTGCTGGATGATTAAGCTCTTGATGCGGCGGCCAAACTCGATGGCGACGTGCTGATAGCTCGACACTATAAGATGTACCTTGAGATGGGTCCTGGTTAGTAGAGCGAGCTCCTGGCTGAGTACTTTGGTCTTCCAAAGCCCCTTTTTAGCCGACTTCCAGAGTTACGGGTTAAGAGCCTCGGACGGCCCCCGGATCCTGGAGAGCTTGTGCAGCATCTTCTTAAATGGCAGCAGCCATGTAATAAAAGCAACTATTATCTGGCTTGGTAGCTCTGGTAAGAACCGCGCCACCTTGCGGCCGCGCCCGAGTATGCCTCTGCTTTTGTTACGGTCTGTGATTAGTATGACCTGTCCGTCAAAGATGAAGACATTCTTCGGCAGCTGCTCTATGTCGCAGTGCTTGAGCGTCGATACTTCCGGTCCTTGCCCCGGTTGCCCGCTTTATATGTGTAACATGGCCTTGAAGCTGCGCCTGAACTGCCGGAGCTGGACGATGAACTCTTCCGCCCGCTGCCGCCGGCACTCGATCCGCCCCGCCCCGCTGCCGTCAACGCCCACCTGCTTCCAGAGTGTGCTTTCGAGAAGCTCTGCGATCCGGCCGGCCCCGGGTTCTAGCTATGAATTCCTGCGGTCGGTGATGAATGACTTGTTCGGACCCTTATATACCAGACTGTTAGTAATCCTCCGTAGCTTGATTGTCTCTCGGACCTGGGCCTACTGCCCGTCTATGAGCTTATCGAGCTAGCTCTCGGCCTCGGCTACTGCTGCCTACGCTATCTTCTAGAAGTCGGCTACTTTTATGCATTTTATATTATAGCATAGCGTCTTGCTATTGCTTTCCCAGATGATCTGCGTAGTTCTGCCCTCCTGCTTCTGATGGCTATGACTGAATGCTATCTACTTGATGATCCTGCTGAACGGCGTGTATGAGCTGCTTGTAAGCCAGTGCCGGTGACTTTTCTGAAATAGGTTGATGGCTTCGAAGCTGGCTTTGTATGCAGCCAGCTTGTTATCGACTGACCCGTCGCCTTCCGATTTGCTTGAGTCCCCTGAGTTACTTGACTTGCTTGAATTGTACTGATTATTCTTAAAGAAGTGTTTTAGTATTAAGACCTGGCTGCACCACAAGAAGCCAGCTAGAAATCGAGTGTGTGAGTGTGACGGGATCCAGCCCTCGCCTGTCCGATTGATGCTGAGAATGGCGGTAAAATGCAATAGTAGGTTGTCATAGCTCTTGTAACCCAGCTTCTGCTTGAGTGAGTAGATACAAAAGTCAAAGATGGTTTTGTTAAGTTCCTTCTGGTCTGGGTCCTCCTTTTCTTTTAGTTTTTTTTCTGCCATTTTCTTGCTATCCCTCTTGGCCGCCATAGCCACAATATCCAATTTCTGTACAACTTCGCTAAGAGCATCCCACTATATATTTATAAACTGTACTTTATGCTTCTTCTTAGCCTTCTTGTGCCTAAGCGCCCAGATCCTTATGTAGTAGCATAGATAATGCTGGAAGCATAAGCAATACCGGTCTGTTGTTTTTGGGTTTTCTTTCTCGCCGAACGGTTTACTGTTCGGCTTGGCCGGGTCGATGCTGGCGAGCCACTCGAGTGTGTCATCCGGCATCTTATCCAGCTGCTTTCGGCATATGGCTATAACTCGAGCGAAGCTTGCTGAGAGCTGCCGCAGCCGCCGGTTTGCCTTAGCCTCCTCCTCGCTCCATAGCCGCGCCTCGGCCGCCTTGGATACGGGTGGCTGCCCTGCCTTCAGAACCATTGGCCGGGCCTTCTTGGGGAGGTGCGTAGACTATTTCATGAACCCGACCCATCTTGACTCCCTGTCTATGGCTTTGACCGCTTCATCTTCGGCGAGCCTTCGGCGCTCGTCCGCTTCCCTTTTGATCTCTGCCTCGCAACCCTGGACCATCTGTAATACCGCCCCGCGGCCGGTGCCGTGGCCTTGTCGTGTTAATTGGCTCTGTGGCGTCGATGCTGCTATGCTGCTGCTGTTGCTGCTATTACTGTTTTCACTGCTGCTGCTGCTGCTGCTGTCATCCACAATCCAGTACCGTGCATATCGGCCCCGGCAGAACGTCTGCAGAGTCGCCAGCTCCCAGCCTGCCCTGCTATCACCTTTTTATAGTTGGTGGCCAGCCTCAGCTGGATGCGCAAGTATGTTGTTCTTGTTTATTGTCAAAAACCGGCACCGGGGTTCCGTGCACCTAAATCCTCCTAGAAGTGGGAGCCCTTCGATGGGGAGACTGTAGTCGCTGGGGAGCTCGGCTATGTGCGGGTCGTTGAGCGTATGCTCCGCCGCCTGCGATGCGACGAAGCCGAGTACCTGCTCCAGCTGCATTCCCCTAAGCTTGTGCTGCTTGCGAAAATGAGATCCGACTGCGCTCGGGCTGGGCTGGATGCCAACTGCGCCACTGGGGTATTGGTGGCAGAGCAAGACTATATATGGCTGGGAGAGGCGGATGGTTTTGTCTAGTTGGATTGGTTCTAACCGGGCGAGAGCTTGTGCAGCCTTGGCTATTTTTCTAGATGTAGTAGCTACTATTGGCGGTGGCAACGGCAGCGGAACTGCTATAATTGCCCTCTTCCCTTCCCCCCCCTCTTTTGCTGCTGCCGCTGCTGCTCCTCTATTCTGCTTCTCTCGGCGGGGTCCCTCAAGAATCGCCATTTCTAGATGCCGACCGCTCTGGCGGCTACCCCGTGTTGCTCTAGTATTAGCTGCTGTACGTATTATGATAGTGTGTGTAATATAATATTGTATTTATCTGTCTTTGGGTGGTTTGGTGGGTGTAGCTTCTATATGTTAAACCCCAAGTTAAACTAGAGAATGTAAACCCAGATAAACTAGAATGAACCCAATTAAACTTAAAGTCGCGTCCGTCAGCCAATCATCGCGCTCGTCCTGTTCCAAATACGTCCTGTTCCAGGAGGCGCGAGCGCGTCGCGCCCATTGGTCCCTTGGGCTAAACCCAACTTGGGTTTAGCCACGTTCGACTTGAACGTGGGCTGGATTACGGGTCAGGCCCTTATTGCTTACTGGCGCTTCGCCTTGACCCACCTCATCCTGGCTGCTTGTAGGCTCGGGGGATGTCGGGCTATTGTGTAGGCTCAGACCAGAAAGTGCAGTTGTGAGGGACTCTTCGTGCTCTTCGTCCTGCTGCGCAATTGGTGGTGCATCCGCCTGTGCCTCTGTTGCTGCTGACGGGGCTGTGTGCCGGGGGCTTCGGCGCCTTGGTTCCATTGGACCTGCTGTTGCTACGGTCTGGGCATGCTGGCTTTCCTCTCTGTCCCCTGCCGGCGCCGGCGGTGGTTGTGATGTGAGTAGATCTGGGGAATGGGCAAGCCTGGGACTCTGACGCTTCGAGTGCGTTGGCAAGGGTTGATCACTAGTGGTGGTGGTGGAAGAGTTGCCTTGTTGGTGAATACCTTGTTGGTGAATAGCATCGACTCGATTTTCCCCCCCTACAGCCTGTTGCCGATGTCGTCTACTTCGTTCCCGCTCTTGGGCTGCCTTCTAGGTAGTAGAGAGAGTTACTGCGCGGCGGCCCATTGTAATGAGGTAGATGATATGCTAAGTAAGAGGGTCCCAATGAAGAAAACAAGACAAGAAAGGGAAAGTGGTCTACGGTAAGAAAGAAAGATGCTGTTTTATTTTATTGTTTATTTTGCTGTTTAGTTGTTTACTTAATTATTGATCTCCAAGAACTCTTTTTGCTTTTTCTTCTGCTTCTTAGATCTTTGATTGGGGAGGCTGCTGTAGCCTAGGAGACTGTTATTACAGATAAATAGCCCCTGTCGCCCTCCATTATGAGAAGGGGAGTGTGGGTGGTTATGGTGGTAGGAATGAGTAAGTAAGTAAGAGATGGAGGGGGCAGAGATGGGGAGTAAGAGGGATACATGTAGCGAATACCTGTTCAAATATGCAGCGTCCAGTTTATAATTGATATTATTGGCCAAATTATATGCACCATCTGCGATAAAATATATTATATTGGTTGATAAAAGCTACGCAGGGAATATCAGCTAGGGTAAGTAAGCATGCATTGGCCTGTCGAGACATGTAGAGATACAGGCTACGGTCTTCATTGCTTTTTATATGCAGCGTCCAGTTTATAATCCATTTTATTGGTCACTTTCTCTCCCCCCCCCTGCTCCCTTGACTAGGCTATGGCAGAAGCAAGTCGACGACCCCGATCACGCTGACATTCATTTGCATCCCTAATTTTGCCCTTCTACATGGAATAAAGACGGAACAAGAAGGATAAAATGAATATATGATGCTGCAGGCTGTAGATGCCATTCTGCTCTATCGAATGGTCTATAGTTTGTCGCGTGCATCGCTGTGGTGGATTTACTAGGAATATTTATACTCTATTGGACCTGTCTTTTGAATTGCACTAAGTCCCGCCGCGACCAACTGAACTGCTGTCCCAACCCGAACCCTAGACGCACCTCTGATGTCCAGTTGGGCCGGATCAAGGCCGCCCAGGACCATATCTCGGAAGAGAGTCATACTTTCGTGCAGGCTCGGCCGGGCAAAGGTATTCTTCAGGTCGTGGGATTGAAAGAGCAGGCGCGGGTTCTGGAAATACGGAAAGGCCTTGCCTCGTCGGGTGGCAACTATATATTTGTTGGCCCTTCGCACCACGGACGCCCAGAAAGCCGCCAGGGATTCCCGGGGAATATAATAGCTGAGGTGGAAGGCCCGGCTCTCATCTTCAGCGCCCCACCGGCCCGAGCCGGGCTTCTCCTAGTATAAGCGAGACTTGGCATAGATTAGGTCGTAGGAGCTGGAAATCTCCTGTCGCGCATAGTCCGGGAGGGACTCGTAGGCTGCAGGGATAATAATGTCATCGTAGAGGTCCCGCTAACGATCGAGGGAAAGGCTGTTGGACGAAGCAGACATCTTCTTGCCGGCCGCCGTATGAGGAAAGAACAAGAGAACGGAGAAGCAAATACTAGCGGTAGTGAAGGAACCGATGTAGATGTGCCGCGTGTGGGCCAGGTCAAGCCCATGCGGTTGGATAACCTGATCGCTGCTCAGGTTGCACTTATGGGGGGGCATAAAAGAAAGATAGAAGCCAGCGGGGTCTTGGATGGCCGACAGGTCCTTCGCACCGAGCTAGATGCTGTTAATATTCTATTGCCTTGTGATGGTAACTGATTCGTCGGGCAGGCTAGCCTGGGTCTTGTAGAAGAAGAGCGGCTTAGGCAGTTAGTTGGATAGTAGGTTCTGCTACTAGGGAAAAGAGGCCTGAGAGTTAAAGGTTCTGTTACTGCCGCTGAATATATCTAACAAGGGGGGCAAGAACTGTTAGAGGAACTGGGCTCTCTCTTGCAGGCTATGTATTTACTCTAGCTCTAGCTTATATATACCTATATTATAGCTAAGGCTATATGTAGTTAGTATTCCTATATTTCATTCCCACTTCTATTGTTAAGGTTGTAAACCAGGACAACAATAATAGCCAGGGTATTCTTATAGTAATATTTACTCTAGAAATATATCTTGAATACCTAGTTATATACCTTGCCTTGGGCACGGAGAAAGTCATCGCCTCCTGCTATATCTTAGTCCTGAATTACCTAGAGGAATCTAGTAAAAATTAGATTATCTAAACTAGAAGATAAAAATATAGAGGATAATAATAATAAACTTAATAGGTCTATATAATCTAATAGCCCGGACCAACTCAATAAGTATAGCAAAAGCAGAGCAGAGGATATAAAAAGAGAGGCAGAAGAATATAACAACAGGGGCCGTTAAGAAGAGTAGAAAAGGGAGGAAGACAGAAAAGAAGAAAGAGATAAGAAGTAGCAAAAGGCAATGGGAATAGGCAAGCAAGACAATAAAGATAGGGTCTGCACTTCCTGCTTAGATTCGTTTTGATCCTATAACAGGCCCTCATTACTCACTAGCACTTCACCTTAACCCACCTCATCCTGGCTGCTTGTAGGCTCGGGGGATGTCGGGCTATTGTATAGGCTCAGACCAGAGAGTGTAGTTATAAGAGACTCTTCGTACTCTTCGTCCTGCTGTGCAATTAGTAGTGCATCCGCCTGTGCCTCTATTGCTGCTAACGGGGCTATATGCCGGGGGCTTCAGCACCTTAATTCCACTAGACCTACTATCGCTACAGTCTGGGTATGCTGGCTTTCCTCTCTGTCCCCTGCCGGCGCCGGCGGTGGTTGTGATGTAAGTAGATCTAGGGAATGGACAAGCCTGGAACTCTGATGCTTCGAGTGCGTTAGCAAGGGTTGATTACTAGTAGTAGTAGTAGAAGAGTTATCTTGTTGGTGAATAGCATTGACTTGATTTTCCCCCCTTACAGCCTGTTGCTGATGTTATCTACTTTATTCCTACTCTTGGGCTGCCCTCTAGGTAGTAGAGAAAGTTACTATATGGCGGCCCATTGTGATGAGGTAGATAATATGCTAAGTAAGAGGGTCCTAATAAAGAAAATAAAATAAGAAAGGGAAAGTAGTTTATAGTAAGAAAGAAAGATACTATTTTATTTTATTATTTATTTTACTATTTAGTTGTTTACTTAATTATTAATTTTTAAGAATTTTTTTTGCTTTTTCTTCTGCTTCTTAGATCTTTAATTAGGGAGGCTGCTATAGTCTAGGAGATTATTGTTATAGATAAATAGCTCCTATTGCTTTTTATTATAAAAAGGGGAGTATAGGTAGTTATAGTAGTAGGAATAAGTAAGTAAGTAAGAGATGGAGGGGGCAGAGATGGGGAGTAAGAGGGATATATATAGCAAATACCTATTTAAATATATAGTATTTAGTTTATAATTAATATCATTAGCTAAATTATATGCACTATCTGCAATAAAATATATTATATTAGTTAATAAAAGTTATATAGGGAATATCAACTAGAGTAAGTAAGTATATATTGGCCTGTTGAGATATATAGAGATACAGGCTATGGTCTTTGTTGCTTTTTATATATAGTGTTTAGTTTATAATTGATGCTATTAGCCCTTACCCCTACGCTATATATAGCGTCTAGTTTATAATCCATTTTATTAGTTACTTTCTCTCCCCCTCCTGCTCTCTTAACTAGGCTATAGCAGAAGCAAGTCGACGACCCCAATCACACTAACATTCATTTGCATCCCTAATTTTACCCTTCTATATAAAATAAAAACAGAATAAGAAGGATAAAATGAATATATAATGCTATAGGCTATAGATGCTATTCTACTCTATTAAATGGTCTATAGTTTGTTGCATGCATTGCTATGGTGCATTTACTAGGAATATTTATACTCTATTAGACCTGTCTTTTAAATTGCATTAAGTTCCGCCGCGACTAACTGAACTACTATTCCAACTCGAACTCTAGATGCACCTCTGATTTTATTTCCAATATATATTACTTTATATACCTAATAAATTACAAATAGATATTTAGGCAAATAAATAAATAGCTTTATCTTAATAATATTTATATATAATATTTATACTTTATTATATTATTTTAATTATTTTATTTTATTCTTTTTAGTATTTACTTTTTACTAGTTATTATAATAAGATTAGAACTTTAAATTTAATTCTTATCTTAATTAACTCTTCTACTTAATATTTCTCCTACTTATATTAACTCTTCTATAAGCTCTACTCTTAATATTCTTAACTTAATATATTTACAATTTTAACTATATTATAACACTTTAATTTGGGTTTTTTTAGTTTATAATTTAAAATAGAATATCTCCTAATTAATATCTTTCTATATATATATTTTATTTTTATTTTTACTATTCTAATTTTAATAGAACTCTTCGTTAATATTTTTAATAGAATTCTACTTTATGTTATTAATAGCGCGGTTTCTATTTGTATGGGTTTTTAATAGACTTCTTCGAAGAGTTCCTATACAGATTGCGGGTAGACCTCTTCGAAGAGTTCCTATATAGATTGCGGGTAGGCGGGAATGTGACGGGATATTGCATTTAACCTCTGTCCTTGCAATAGTCAATGTTCTATTAAGACACAGATGCAACGCGAGTGCTATGTTCACACTAGTCTCGGCACGTCCTGAAGCGAATGGGAGGTTGGATGACCTGTGTATAACATGTCGGGCAATTTTCGATCCAGAGGTCATTCGCCTCCTCCTCGAACAACGCAAGGATACGTATCTCACAAGACAACACTTGCTTTGCGGAGAGCTCCCAATATCTGCTAGATACTGCCACTTGTGCAGCATCATCCTAGCATCATGTCGCCGGTGGAGAGTCCGCGACGACACAGACTCTGGTCTCAACCTGACCGGCGAGAAAGCATGTTCCGGAAATTTTGCGGGCGAAAGAATCTTTTTGAACATCGGCATCATGCTGAAACTGATTGGAATAACGGGGTTATCCCTTTCAAGCGACGTGGACAACACCTGGGGGTTTGGCGGTATGATACTTCTGTCTCAGATCGTAAGATTCACTGTACCCAAACGAGGTATTGCGAGAGAACTGACCGTGACATAGAGCTCTGCAAAACTCGAGAACCTAGTTGCCTACCGATCAACGCCAAGGGGGTCATGCAGTGAAAGGACGCCTGCTGCGGTTCGTGCATGGCTCAATGATTGCCTGACTGGTCACGGCGGTTGTTCTCTTGCGAGAAGGGTCCTCGTAAGTGATTTCACTGGACCAACCAGACTCTTGGAAATCGGGAACCAAGGCGAAAGGGTGAGAGTCAGAGCCATGGCCAGGAGTTGCCTTGTCCAGTATCTGACCCTCAGCCATAACTGGGGACAATCTGTGCACTGCAAACTTCTCTCTACCAATCTTCAACAGTATCAGCAGTTTATCCCCACCAGCCATCTCTCAAAAACTTTCAGAGAGGCAACCCTGCTAACCGCAACGCTCGGCTTTTCGTATATCTGGATTGATGCGTTGTGCATCATCCAGGATTCAGCAGCGGACTGGCAAGCCGAGTCCACAATGATGGGGGATATCTATGCTCATGGCGTACTTAACATTGCGGCAACAGCGTCGAGAGACGGGAACGGTGGATTATTCCGCTCTCCGATAGAGAGCCCACCATGCGTCATCCGATTTCAGGATGAGGACTCCCGGCAATTCATCTTTTTAACCCACAACGAGGCGGACTATTACAAACGCATTGACGAAGCGCCGCTGGCTTCACGCGCGTGGGTTCTGCAAGAGCGTCTCTTGTCTCCCAGGACCGTCCACTTCACAAGTGATCAGGTCTTCTGGGAGTGCTACTCCTCCCGTGACGCTGAGATACTACCGGACACGATATTCCCGAAGGCATCCAATGACCATCTTGACAAGACTATCATGGTCGAAAAACACAGCCAAGGCGTCTCAAATTCACTGCACCGTACCTGGGCAAAGCTGGTCCGTCCATACACGCTGTGCCAGCTAACATTTGGAAGAGACAAGCTGCCCGCCATCTCGGGACTTGCGTCTCGGCTTGCGTCGCAATGGGGCCTCGAATCGGGCAGCTATCTTGCAGGGTTATGGAAGGAAAGCTTGGTCAGTGATCTTCTCTGGCACTCATCGTCCTACAAAAGCTCGATATGCGCCGAGCGAGCGCCATCCTGGTCTTGGGCGCGACTCAACGGGCAAATATTTACCGGAAAAGCCCCCACACAATGCCATATGTCGATTATATCTGCGAGCACTTGCACGGTTGGAGATCCGTTTGGGATGGCGCCGACTGGTAGCGTCATCTTACAAGCTCCAATGTGTAGAGCGAAGCTTACCTGCTCAAAGCGGGAGCCGAGCCTCGTCGAGTTGATGTGTGGAGTCGACTTGGTTCTGCAGGAAAACAGGGTTGTGCTTCCAGGCTGGGGCATAAGCTGGGATGACTGGAGCACGAGTTGCGGTACTACGCAGCTATATTTAATCATTTGTGATTCCTGTACTTCAGTGATAGGCAGGCCGAGCTGCCGGGGACTAGTGGTGCAACCTATTACCAACAAACAGGGACAGTATGAGCGAGTTGGCTACTTTGATATTGACGTTGCAGACAGAGAGACATTCCTAGATGTTATAAGTAGTAAAGGCCAGATAGACGATATGAGCTATCTGAGTTTTGATAGTAAGATAGGGTATACTATTGAGCTTATATAGTAAAGAGTAATAAGCTAAATTGCTCTACTGTACAAAGGCCACCTCGTTTCCTCTCGAGTACGCTTCACAATAAAAATAGAGTAACCCACAGCCCTGCCACTGCCCCAGACTCTATTGTTATCACCATACGTTTATTTGATCTCCCGAATCAGTCCCAGGGTTAATCGCAATGAGCCGACATCTCCGCATCGAGCGCATCCCCTCGGGGCTGCATTTTACTCCGAGTCAGTCAACTCCAGCAGGAGGCTATCCATTTCCACCGCATAGCGCCCATTCCGCCCAGCCTTCATCACGTCCGCCAGAGTCCCGGACGCCTTTGTGTCTTCCCCTTCTTAAAATTGCAACCGAAGTCACTGTTGACGGCACGGTCGCCTCGACCAAGCTGATCCAGCACTTCATCAACAAATCTGAAACCGAAATTCATCAGGCGCATTACGCGTTTCCCCTCTACGATGGGGCAGTAGTGACGGCCTTTAAGTGCTCCGTCGGCGATAATATGGTGTTGGTTGGGAAGGTTGAGCCCAAGGAGGATGCCAGAGTCACCTATAAGGTGGCCGTCGAGCAGAGGTATGCCGCTGCTCTACTCGAGGAACACACCCCTGAGGTTTTCGAGACGGTGGTTGGAAACATTCCTTCCATGACCGAGGTGGAGGTCGAGATCAAGTACGTGAGCGAAGTCAAGGCCGCTCTGCTGGATGGAAGGAAGGAAGGTCTGGAACTCGTCATTCCCATATCCATCGCGCCACGCTACGGGAAGCCTGTAGGCGGTGATCGCAATGCCGACCGCTTTGCGCCTGTGGAGCCGGAGGGGGTTGGACTTGATATTCTTGTCAAAATCAACAACGATGGGTCTATCGAAGGCGTAGAACAAAGCTACAAGTCCAAAACCAAGTGGAATGTTGCCATTGAGGATAAGGTTGTGGACAGCTTCGGGTTCCCAGCAGCGGGCAAAGGAAAGGCGGCGGATACCCCCAAGTCAACACAGATACACGTGCGACACACTTCGGCCAAAGCCATCAGGGATGAAGATTTCGTACTAACCATCGAGACCTCGCCGGAACACCCACTACGCTCCAGGGCCGTGCTATCACCAACCAACAACGCAGGCCACGCCGCCTTGCTCGTCAATGTGAAACCGGGCGAGCTCTTCAAAGATTCCGCCCGAGCCGAGAAGTTTGACGGCGAGATCATCTTCCTGCTGGATCAGTCCGACTCCATGGGCTGGCCCACTGGGACCCAAACGCGGACCAAGATCCAGACTCTACGGGGCGCCATGCCCAGGTCCCTCACCAACCTTCCGAGTGGATGCGCCTTTAATATCCTCTTCTTCGGCGGAACATATAAGTTTCTCTGGGACGAAGGATCAAAACCGTGCACGGGGTCAAACCGCGAAGCAGCGATCAAGTATGGAGGCAGTGTGCAGCCCGACATGGGGGGCACCGAGCTCCTCGTTGCACTCAGAGCCGCCGTAGCTTCCCGCTTGGCGGGCCGCTCCTCGACGCAGATCGTCATCATCACAGACGGTGAGGTTGAGGAGGACAAGGTCCTGGAGTTCGTGTGGAAGACTCGCCAGGAGCTTGGGCACCGAATCCGCTTCTTTGCACTCGGCATCGGGACCCGGGTCCCGCATCGCTTGATTGGGCGCATCGGCGAGTTTGGCGGCGGGTATGGCGAGGTGGTCGACATCGACGGGCATCCTCAGTGGAGTGACAGGCTGACACGGATACTTCAGGCAGGGATCATGCCTTCAAGCTGGGAGTTTGATGTTGATCTCGGTCAGGGGTTTGAGCGGAAAGACCTGGTGGAGTATCAGCTCGGCGAGCAGGAGAGGCTCTCGGTTCAAAGTGAGGTAGTGCCATACGTTCAGGCTCCGTATCCAACCCCGGCGATGCACCCATTCTCTTACCGCTCCGTGTTCTTTCTTCTGGAGCTGGGCAAACGCCCACCGCCGTCGCAGGTAACGCTCCGCTCCACCACGCCAGGGACCAAGACCCAGACAACGTACGCACTTCCCGTAACGCCGACATGGACCGACAAGGCGGCCATCTTGCACCTGGCAATAAAAGCGGTCCTTATAGGGCTAGACGCCCAAGCACGCGGAGCCGACTGGGCGCGAGCCAAGAAGGAGCGCGTACAGAGCAACGCCGAGCGGCTGGGAACTCTGTATTCCATTACGAGTCAGTGGACGAGCTTTGTCGCCGTCGATCTGGGCCGAAAGCTTGTATGCGGGGTGGAGTTCCACAAGGCGCGTCTCATCGAGGCTGCCATCGGCGACGTACTCTGCCCGCCGACTCCGAGCGGCTCGGCTTCCCCCCTTCCCGTCCGGAGTGATCCGACATTGTCTCGTACCAACCCTACAAGCTCCGGCGATGATTATGGGTACTTTGAGGCGGGTAGTGCGGTGGGCCAGGATATAGGTAGTGCGGGGGACCCGGGTAGTTTGGGAAGCCCTCTCAGCTCTGTCGTCTATGCCGTCGCTTTCTCGCCTGATTGTCATATGCTCGCGTCGGCATCAAATTACCGCACGGTTGAGATCTGGGACCCGGCGACAGGTCGTTGCCTGCAGACGCTTGAGGGTCATCGCGGGTCTATCTGTGCCATCGCCTTCTCACCTGATTGTCATATGCTTGCGTCAGCATCAGGTGACTGCACGGTTAAGATCTGGGACCCGGTGATAGGTCGTTGCCTGCAGACGCGCGACTTGTCTGCTTAGCAGTGAGTGGGTTAGGCGTCTTCTATTTCGAGGATGGTAAGTAGGTCTGCTATATATTGTCTTTATTATATCTCTGCCTTTATACGCGTCCTAGGGCATAAGGTATGTTTATTCATTTGTGTAGAGCTTGATGAATGTTCCAGAATCGTGATGAGTGTGGAACATTGCAGGATTAATTCGTTATGTACCCGTTGGCATTGTGGCGGCGCCTACCAACCTCGTCCCGAGGTTGGTCATAAAAATCTGGTCCAGCCACATAATTTAGTCCATCCAACTTCATGACCCTCAAGTTGTAAAATGGACCATTTTCTGATTGCAGCGTTTCGGGCTGCGTGACATAGTCATTTATTGAGGACTAGGGCTGTAAGCGGGCTTGGTGGAAAGCCACGAGATAGCAGAAAATGATGATATTGATAAAAATAGTAGAAAATCGCATTTCTGGCCTCAATTCGGCTGCCTGCCCTGAGGGCCCTCGCTTCAGCTGCTGCTTTCCATTGCGTCGAGTTTAACTGTACCTTAAGTCTATAAACACAACTTCTTAGGTAGCACCCCTCAGTAGTTGTTAGAATATAGTCATACTTTTCTCTCCTTGTAGAGTTGTAGAGTTGAAGTTAATGAATGGTCTTCGATAAGCTTCAAAAGTACTATAGCTGGACTATAATACAGCTTTCTTCATCTCCATAGCTAAGTATAAGGCTTGTTATTCATCAATGTCTTGCTATGCTATTTTCTAAAGCTTACTCATACCTCTTCTGCTAATGATTAATTGCCCGTTTTCCGTCTCCTGGGCTACCCGGGCTTTGATGCGAGATTGAGCTAGCTGGCGATGGTGAATGAAACGGGCTGTGTTTGACTATTGCAAGCAGTTATGCTTGAACTGATGCGCGCCGAAGTTGGCAATTACTATTGCGTCATCTTGATCGAACAAGATTTTCGGAAAATACTTAGCCCTTCTGACCGTCTTGGTGATTTGATCTGCAGCCATTTGTTAACCAACGATCCAAGTAAACGAATAAGTTAAACTTACCAAGACGCTGGTCATTTACAGTAAAGTATACTTCACTCCTATCCCAGTCGAACCCACAGCCTATCGTGTCTCCTGTATGAACCTTCGGAAGTGGCTCTCCGCCTGAGAGAACAAACAAGTACGTTCCACTGAGGTGGATCATATGACTCGCTCCTTCAACAGTTCCTTCCAAACCAAAATTGATCGATCTTCAGGATTATCAACAGTTGATCACCCGGATCCTGTAAGGGAATCACTATACTTACGAAGAACTCCAGAACTGAGCAATAGTTATTTCCAGATAGAAACTCTGGCAAGGAGGGAATGGATGATTTGCGAAAATACCAACCCGCTCTGACCACTGCAGACCGCGGCAAGGATCATGCACGCCTAGCATTGTGTTAAGACTCGGGGTTATTTCGATGGAAAGAAGCCTCGCAGTTCGTATCACTTACCAGAATATTGCAGCCTCGAGTTTTCCTGCCGAAAAAGAGACCTGTGCAAGGGGGAGAGGCGTTCAACATCCCAGTGAGTGGGAGTTGCAGCCGTCATTGCAACAGAAGCAGCATCCATAGTCCCGAGCCCGATCGATAAAATCCTCAGACTTTGAGTACATCTGACATGTAATCCGCACATGTATGCACTCCAGCCGTGCTCGTCTTCCGCCTGACTATCCTCACATATTTGAATCGCTTGAGAGAGAAGATTGAAATTCCCACCAACAATCGCTCGCTGGAGAGTTCTCGATGTAATTACCGGGTCCTGCAAGTCGGCAAACTGTACCTGCAAGAGCTTTCTGAACATTCCCTCGTGGCCGGCGAATGCCACGCATTCTAGGGCGCTTTGAAATGGGCCGAAAGAGGAACGACCGGTCGATCCATTTTCTAGAAGAATCTTGAATGCTGCAAGATTTTGATTTAGAATCGCTCTGTGAAGCGGGTTAGTAAATGGTGCCGCTTCGAGATTCGGATCGGCTTCGTTTTCGAGTAGTAGTTCAACTAATCGAGTACTGGAATTGGTAGCGACGGCTTCATAAAGGGCACTCCCTTCAGCTGACACGAGCTCATTGATAACTCTTCGTGCACCGTGGCCGAGCAGAAGCCTCACCATATCCTCGCTGTCGATGCCAGGCCTTATAGCTTGGTGCAGAGCCGTCCCATAATCTCCTTCTGAGGCGCAGACATCTGCACCGTGCGAGAGCAGTAGCTGCAAGACTTCCAGTCGGCCCTCGGAGACAGCTGCTTGGACGGCAGTTCCAACATGGCTGACTCTTCTATTTATTTCCGCGCCATTTTCCAAGAGAAAGGACACCATGTCTTTTGATCCGTACAGGACTGCTTGGTTCAAAGCGGAGCCCGTAACTTGATAGTCTTTGTCAAGAATTCGGTGCATATCTGCTCCATATTTAAGTAGGAGAGTGACTAAGTCCTTGTCGTCCCTGGAAACGGCGATCGATAAGGCCGTGTGATTGCTGAATCTAAGTTGATCGACATCGACGCCGGACTTGAGCAACTCGAGGATAACACACCTCGACGCCCCTAGGAGCACTGCATCCACGATGGGCACGTTGTAGCCGTGCGGATGCTGAATGCGGTGGATTCCGAGGCCAATCAGGCGCAGGGTGACGGAATCTCGTCCCAAGTTAAGAGCTTCGCGGAATGCCATCGACCTATCATGGCTCTTGGCCGGAAATGGCTTTTTCGATTCACAGTGGCTCAGCCATTCTGCGAATTTTGTACAGTCTGCCCACTCATTCAACTGACCCGAACTGAAAAATTCAACAACAGTGTCATCGAGTTCTGAATCGTCGGGCGCCTTTCTGACATGCGCCATCCATTGCGACGCAGCGTAGTCGTACAGCGGACCCACTTTCTCCTCATTGAGGGCATGCAGGCAACGAAGAGCAAGTTTTCGATGAGCCTGGGCCTCGCAGACTCGATATTCCGTAAGGGTCGTGGCATCTAGCCGATGGGAGGTCAAGAACTCTCGAACTGAGTAATGAGAGAACTGATACGCTTTCGTTTCCTCGTTAATTTCCACGAGGCCTCGGAAGAGTTTGCGGATGCTACCGTCTGACAGCTTCTCCCCCAACGAAATCGTATCTGGTGCATGATCATCCTTTTTTATGACCTGGATGACCTCTTCACGAGTGGGTGGCTTCAGGAATCCGACTAGAGCCTGGAAGACTGACTTGATCAGTTTATGATCCGCGTCTGATATCGTGTTGAAATGGAGCAATGTCCGCTCATAGACTTTGTCCAATTGTGTCTCGACCGTTTCCAGAAAAGCCTGCTGCTCTTCGTCGGTCCTTAGGAGAAACAGATTGTCTAGTTGGTACTTAGCCCATTGGAAACTAATCTCGCAGTCAGCATGACCGAAACGCTAAACGGATATTTCACTCACAGGCCTCCGGCATGTCCGACAAGCTGACTGACTATTGTCTCTTTTAGAAAAGGATCGTTGATATGGAAGACGCCTTTCTGGACGCGTTGTTCGATCTGCGCCGAGACATATAGATGAATATCTCCACTGTTTGTCTCTTCATTTAAACAAACTGTCGGATATCCTGCAAACATTGCTTCTACGTCGGCTTCCGGGCGACTGGTGACTAGAAGTTTGAAGCGGCTGCCTTGGGGTGCTACCAGCTCATGGAGGAAGGGGAGCAGTACTTCCCTCCCAATGGATTCGTCCAATGCATCGATGAGAATCAATACCATTCCAAAGCAGCTGGAAGCCGAAACCAGTTGCTTCTGAAGGATTTCCATTGATAACTGGTCAGCGAGTCGATTCTGTTGGCATTGTGCGTCGAAGAGTTTGCCTAATGCCGTGGCAACGTCCTTGTTCTGGGTTGCGAGACTTTTGAGCAGACCACCCAGGATCATCGACGGGCTACGCAGCCTGGGGTCCCGGTAGTCGCAGTAGAAAAACGCAAGACCAGTGGAAAGGTCTCTCTCTTTTCGGAGCTTGTTGACGGTCGAAGAGCTGATGCGGGCGCCTTATTAGCCGACCACATGAAGCTGCACATGGCAGGCAAAATAGTGACTTACAACAGTACTGTCTTCCCGGAGCCCGCTGAGGTACGTTAGCAATGCGAGATGGCGGTAGGGTTGAACGACTACTCTAACGTTTTCCATGTATCGAGAGTAGTTTGTGCTCTCCACAGGCCCACGCCCGTAGTTCTTCGCCTTCCGTGAACCACCGGCTCGTATGTGGCTGTTGAAGGATCGAAACACTCCCATGGTGTGCTTCCATATCCACTGGAGATAGCCACTTCATCAGGCGCATTAGCTTGTCACCTGTGGAGCATTAGCGTTGCTGTGGGTTGTCGTGTCCCACGCGATGCTCACTCTGCCGCTGTTCTTCCATCAATTCGACCTGTTTGGAGTATGCCGAGGCGATTGACGCAATATCCTGGTGCAAATTGTTCAGCAAATTTCTGGCCGGACGAATTAGCTACTTGAATCCTGTATTGGGGCGCACAAAAGTATCGTACGAGTCGTCGATCGAAAGAGCCAAGGTAAATGCAGCCTTCAGTTTCTCCAGCTGTTGCACCATTTCCTGTGTCTCGACTTTCTCAAAGGGCCATTTCAGTCTTCCGGTTAGTCTGTTCATCTTTTGCCGTTTATTTGGAGACGGTGTATTCTCATGCTTATCCAGCACATCGTTGACCTTGTTGAGAGTTTTCCTAAAGGATTCTAAGGCGCCGTTTTTCCCGCAAATGGTAGAGATAGTCCGATGTTCACCTGTGGTGGGCGATTCGCTTTGGGCATGGCTGTCGATGAGCGATTTGAGAGCGTGCAGGAGTCCTGTATTTATGGTCATCTCGCTGAGAAAATTTCGGATCTCTTCCGGGGCGCCCTTGACATCGGCTCCGTATTTGTAGGTGCTGTGGATAATTTTCCCCGACAGGCTGAGAATGCCAGCGATGCTGGCGGAAAATGAGAGCGGATCTGCCATTGTAAACTTGAACTGGAGGTGAGAACGGGGCCGGAATATCGAAACGTTTGGCTTTGGTTAGACCCAGAAGCAACCCCGGGATAGCCGTGAGGGAAATCAGAACATTAAAGAGTCTGCCGCTCGAGGGTGGCGCTAAAAGCATGGAAACTGCTCAAAGCCGAAGGAGCAAGCCTCGTGGCAATGCTGCGGTCAGCGCCCCCTTTCAAGGCCACCACCAAGTCTGCCTCGGCGCCTCACGAGGTGTTTTGTCTGGCCCGCTAATTCCCTGTTGGTCTAGGTGGGGTTAGACCAACTAAGTGGCATTGGCCGCTTAGTTGGTTCCAAAATTCACGGACACCTCAAAATATCACGGACATCGCTTACTTCTACTGTAAGAATTACTCGCCGTTTTTACAGTACCATAAACGCGGATGCGCTGTTGTGGTTAGTGCCCCACTTGCATCTCCTCTCCCGTACCACAGAGAGTGGTCCACAATAATGATCCACAACACCAAGATATGTCAGGCTGCAAAAACGACGGAATAGCCTCCTTTCCCGAACCTAATGCCCAGTCATGATGCACATCTTGAATAACACAAAGAGAGTCGTGTGATCACTGATCACCGCTCGGGCCTCCTTTAACTGTATCATATTTGACTACCTGCCCCTGCAACCTTCCAGTAAGCCACCTCGACTCGACTAAGGCAAAGTGCAGTTCGGATGGCAAAGTGCATGGTTGTTTTGGTGTCGCTGCAGGTGCATTTCCGGCAACGTTGATCGAGAAAAATACCGCATCTTGCCGGTTTTATCCGCCTTAGCTGCTGCCGGTAGACAAGCAACTGTTTTCGTATTGTGTGAGGCAAGACAGGAAGCTCGGTCACTACTAACACCTGCAATGCAGCAGCATGTTTTGTTCCTTTGAGGGCGAATAGATAACGCAGACAGATCATCAAGTCAGCCCTAAGCAATCTGCGCCGGTCTGCTACAACCTTCTGTATCGCCTCACGACGTAGGCAAGATACCAACCAATGATTCCCCATCCGATCCCCTCACTGGCCTGCCACGATTCCCCTCTCGCACCGCTAAGTGACACGCCGAGCTGGACAAACACCTTATTGGCTCTCGGGTTGCTCGCCACAGGTGTCAAACGCCCGATGGCCCTGTGTCTCCACCACTACGTGGTCAGCTGCCTGCTATTAGGCCCCTGTCTACGGAGTAGCGTGTGCTTAAATCTGCCTTGCTTAAGCCTCCACCTTTACGACGGGGCTGTTGTGGCTGCAGCCAGTCAAGCAGGCCGTTTTTGGGTCTTTGATAGGGTTTGCATCAAAACCAAAAACGGCAATGGATTGACGCTGTTTTCTCTTTCCCCGGAGAGAAGCACTCCCCAACGGAGCCATGCCAGATGCAACAACCAGATGCAGCCAGATGAGCAACTAGATGAACACACCAGATGGCCCGAACCTGAGCGGCCTGCAAAATTGCTTGGCTGTTGGCTCTCTGATCACCACGAGGACTAATCATAAGTCACCTCCCCACACCTGGACAGCGCGAAGGAAAACCAGCAGGCTAATCCTGCAAGCTACAAGTTATCAGAGTCCATCCAAGGAATCAAGTCCCAAATTGGTAACTGTTCAAGTAAGACGATGGTGGTGTCGCGTCGCCTTCCCAATTGAAGGTTGGCCATTCGCCAGGGCCAAAAGCGATGCGGGGGCAAGCTTGTTAGCGGGGCGACAAACCACAACAACCAGCCCCGCCCATCTCGAAATCGTCCCGAGCTGGTCCATTTCCATCTTCAACTTGCGGCCTCGACACGAAGAAACTGGCAACCTTCTCGCCAACAACCACCTCATTACTCTATTTTGCTGAGCGCACAGAATATACGCAACAGAAGCCGACGTCGCACGCTAGCTTTCATCCATCACCGACTTGAAGCACGATCCTCTTCCCCTCCCGACCGAGTTCGACCGAGTCGACTACGAAGGTCGGCAGCACAAGCAACGGAAGCTCAGCACTCATCAACATAAGCTTCTATCGCCACCGGCTTCGGAACCCACAAGTACCATAGCCGATATGCCTCTATCCTCATTAAAGCGACCACGAGATCCCGAGGACCCTGCCGATCGTGCTCACGGCGCCTTATCCTCTTCGCAATCGGACGAAGTATACGATCAAATCACTCCACACCCCGGCCGCTTCTAACAAACTCAAACTGCAGAATGGATTCCATTCTCGGCTGGTTCTAGCCATAGCGGCCAGTCGTGGACCTCGAGCGCTTCCAGCTACTTGGCACCCGTCTTGAAGCATTTAAAATTGGTATCAAGCTGAACATCTCCTTCACGACAAATCCGCAATACCGAAATAAATCAAATAGAATTTAGAATAGGCAGTTTCCGGCTAGACACTTACTCTGACTCCCTTAATGCTTTACGGTGCCAGCTCCGCGACATCGGGCTAGGGGATGGCATTTTGCTAGCTTTGCTCGAGAAGGAGGTACGTCCTAGTGCTACATTGCCATTCTTCCCTTTAGCCTTTACCTTTACCTTCTCTAATATGAATAATACAGCTGCAACGCGCCGATTCCGAAATACCACGATTCATATTCGACCGAGATGAAGCTACATGAGCGCAGACCGAAGCTATCGCAACTGACTTGCCGCCAATTGACTGGGTATAAGCATTGATGAAGCGCGCCGACGAATGCAAGCTCAACCGGGAATGCGAGGCCTCATGGAATGGAGAAATCCACGCTCCGATCCTCGAGCAGGCCTTCCGAATTAACCGATTTGTAAGTAATGGACCAGTCGACTTTCGGTATACTCAAGCCGCGCAGATTATCCATGCCTATAAACCTTGAGAAGCGCTATCCAAGATAGTAGACTTCTATGTCTTTTACCAACCTGGAAAGGGAAGCGCAGAGGAATAAGCCATCAAAGACATCTGCCAAACACAACCAGCTCAATCGATCAATCACACCAACCTAGGGGACCTCTACAAACAACCAATCGCGCTCTCCATCGAGACTAAGCGTCCTAATATAGAACGCGACAATGCAATATTGCAGATAGGAACCTGGCAATCTACCCAGTGGCGCAGTCTTCGATATAATTGCAGGCAATTGTTGCGATGTATTGAGTTCCTCCCGGGCATTATCGTTCAGGGATACGACTGGCAGTTTGTTGCGAGCATCTTGGACGAGAATGGCAAGTCGGTGCTGTTGAAGGGGGTTCGGCTTGGCGGGACGGAGTCAGAGCTGGCGATTTATTTATTGCTCTTAGGGCTGCGGCGGCTGCGGCGGTGGATTTTGGAGGATTACTGGCCGACGTTTGTTTCGGATGTTTTGGCCGTTTCATGACTCTAGAGGGCAATAAGTACTTAAGTTTTCAACACCGCAACCAAGATTCATAGTCTAGTATACTCTCAGTCTAACTGTATAGCTAAGTAACCCAAGAAGATAGAGAAAAGCCTACTGTACCAATTACCACTGGTATTGGCACCCAATACCATTTTTTCTCACTCTAAACGTCACAGAACATCTTCTCTCCACATTAAGTGCGAGCTGGAACTTGCCCCATTCCAGCTTCTAGACCAATCATATCCAATACATTCTACCCGCTCATTTTGTGGGGCGTGACGGCGCCCGTTCCACGTTTGTGTCAACTTCGCACGCACGCAAGATGTCACATATCACCACCAGGTTCCACTGTGCTTTAGAGAGCCGTGCGACCGGATATGAAACGCGGCCCGTACCTTGGGGTCGTGTATCCGGTTTCACATCCGGCTTGTCGCATCAAGGACTCCAATCCTAACGACATGAGCTTAACTAGCTGTGCCCGAACACATGGCTGTTCAATTTCTTTTGTTCTTTAGATAATTCTCATCAATTGACTGGTGCCATCAATAATCCCTGAAGAGCCAATTGTCTGACACAAGATCATTATGTACGGTATTCGCATCGCGCAGGCAGAAAGGATCTCAGAGCGGTTAGGCTAGCTAGCATATTACCCAGAGTGCGTAATCAACTAACTACTTCCAATCGTTAGAGCCATTAGATCCTCCAACTGTAAGTCCAACTCAACTGAGATCGAGCTTGCCGTACTTAGCAACCAGCCAATTCCGAGGTCCAGTTAATTAGGTTTAGATCCAACCGGTTCCAACTAGTTCCAGTATCCAAGGGTCATGTAAGACCCTAGCGCCGTAACTTTAACCCCACCTTCAACTTCCCAATTTGGCTTTTTGTACGGCTAGCTGGCTAATAATTAGCTGCTAAGGGGTATTATCATAAGCCAAACACAACAAACCTCTTCTTGTCTCTTCCACCTATACCAGCTTTATACTCTTCTTATACCAGCCTAATATCTAATTAGAATTAATTTTAAAGCTTATTATTTAGCTTCTCTATATAAGGTTAAATAGTAGGATATTAGAAGTTAAGCCTCTATATAAAGGCCTATAGGATATCTATAAAGTTATAAGTATATATATCTAGAGATATATTTTAACTTATATATAGGTACTAGTAATTTATTATTCTATATTTATTATATAATAGTAGTTAATATTTATAGTTATATAATATAGTATTTTAAACTATAAAATAATAGCTTAAAAATATATTTCTAATTATAATAAAATTAATATTAGAAAAAAGCTTTTAGTAAGAGAGATTTAGTAATTATATTTTAACTTTATAAATATTATTTTTATATAAAAACTAGAGTATTTATTGGAATCTTAATAATTTTATTTAAAAGTATATTATATAGAGTAGTCTACTTTATATATATTAAATAGAGGCTACTATATATATTATCTATTTATGATAGTGGAGCTAGTATCTCTTAATTTTATAGCTTAGGTTTTACTATTAAAATAATATACTCTTTACTATTTCTTATATAGTAAATATTCTTATTAAAACCAGTTAAAAAGCCTATTTAAAGCTATAAAATTAAATTAAATATATTAAAAGTATACTATTTTAAGCTCTTATTAAAATAATAGCTTTAATTATAAAATACATCTAGTACTATAAATTATATAGTACTATAGCTATACCTACTAATATACTTTAATACTATTAGAGCTTTATAATTTGTATACTATATATTAAATTATATAGTAGTTTCTTAATATATTAATTATCCCTGTAAATAGCTTAAAAAGGCTATACTATTATATCTAATAAAATAGAGGTAAAGAATATTAGCCTCTAGATATTAAATATTACAGTATACTACTATTAAAGAAAGCTATACTATTTTTTTACTAATAGACTTTAGTAATCTAATTTCCTAGTATCTAATATAATAGATATTAATTTCCAGGATATTTTCTTAAGTTAAATAGGCTTTAAAATATTATTAACTTTATATTTATCTCTTTATTTATTAAGGCTTTTTATGTAGTTCTTATTCTTATTAAATTTAATACTATAAATCCTATTAAGAAAGATATTTAACCTAAATAAGAATTTTATACCTAGTAAGATAGCTATATTTCTATTTAAACTCTTTAATAATAAGCTTTAAGTTAGTATACCTCTAAGAATTTATAGTATAAAAGTTACTTAATAATAAGTAAAAAAATTTTATATAAAGCTTAAGAGTAATAATAAGAAGCTTTAGTAGGTATACTATTTATATATAAAAAAGAAGTATTAAATAGTCTTATACTTTTTATATAAATCTAATAGTAATATTAATATTATTAAGTATCTATAAGATATCTATAAAATTAAAATAAGTAATAAGCTACTTCTTATTTTTTTACTTTAACTTAATCTTATAAAACTTAAAAAGAAAAAATATAATACTATCTAACTATATTAAAACTCTAATAGAATACTTTAAAGTAACTATAGCCCTAGTTAATTAGTATATCTTTTTTATTATTCTTAAAAAGCTTAAACTTAATATATTTAAAGAGCTTTTTATTAACTAGATAATATATAATAATCTCTCTTTTTAACTAATTAAGAGTAAGTATTTCTATTACTTTATTAAGTTTATTAACTTAATATATAAAAATAAAATACTATTTTTTATAATTTTTTAATTTTAATTGTAATTAATTTATAATTGTGAACGGCCTCTAGTAACTATATTCCAGCTATCTAGTCCAGAATGCTATTTACATCAAAGATAAAGAAGAAAGAAAGAAGTTCCCAAGTGCCCCTAAGCTATAGAACGATTTCCCGTCCCTGGCGCACACAAGCCTCATACATCTTGCGGCACAGCCGCAAGAATATAGGCCCTAGCCCGTGACATTACCCCCCTCCCTCCCGGGAGACGGAGTTGAGGGCTACTTGCAGCTCCCCTTATGGCTCTTGCGCCAGAGCTTCCACTAAGCGGTAGCTTGCAGGTTGCCAATGGGTTCCCACGTAGGCTCAGAGTAACCAACCCACTTCACTAAAGCTTCCTTGCGCCTTACGCCTTCCTCAGTCTTCCACTGCTCATCCAAAATGCATTCTACCTGCCACTCTTCCTCGCCATCAACTAGAATGGGTGCCGGTTGTGTGTTATCTGGTCTCTGTGAGGGCAAGTGGTCTGTCGGTGCTAGGCGTAATAGGTCGACGTGAAAGACTGGGTGAATCCTACCAGGTACGTTCAACTGATAGGAGTGAGAGTTAACTTCCCGGACCACTTGGTACTTGGCATGTAGCCAGTCCAGCTTCTTCGATGGTCTTGTAGTCTTCACATTCTTCAAACTCAGATAGACCCAATCGCCTGGCTTATACCTCGGGGCTGCTATGCGGGACTTGTTGGCGAACCGTTCCTGCTTCTCCTGGGCTATGGCGATGGCCGCCTGTGCCCATTCTATAGCATCTTGCAATCGTCTTATAAAGTCCTCAGCGAGAGTTTCGCCCTCCTTCTGCTTTCCCTCAGTCATGCAGTCTGCCACCAGGCGGATCGGTTTGTTATGGTAGCCATGCATAAAGAAGAATGGGCTCAGGCCTGTTGAGGATGCTTCTCAGTTGTTTATGCTTGCCATTACAATTGGCAAGAGGTCCAGCCAGTTATCCTGAGTGTAGGTAGCCCAAATCCGTATAATCTTCTCAATCTCCTGATTCATACGTTCTGTAGCGCCATCAGTCTGAGGGTGATATCCCGTTAAGAGCCGTTGTTCAATCTTAAGAAGTTTGCAAAAGTACTTCCACAAATCACTCACAAACTGCAGCCCTCTATCACTAGTTATTGCTGTCGGTATGCCATGAATTGGATAGTGGCATTCAAGAAGCCTCTTTGCAACTGCCTCAGATGAGATGTCGTCCATTCCCTCTAGCTCTACCCCTTTCGTCAGGCGATCAGTGACAACCATACAATTTGTCGCTTTATCCCTCCCGGATGGTAGTAAGTCTGTAATAAAGTCGATTGAGATCTCTCCCCAGATGCGCTCAGGGATTGGCATTGGCTTGAGGAGCCCCTTCTTGGTGTCTCTCCAGATCGTATTCCTGCCGCAGATCTCACAGTTCCTCACAAACTGGCGTACATCTGCTGCAGCTCCAGGCCAAAAGAACTGCCTTGATAGAATAGTATAGGTAAGGTCTCTGCCAGGATGTCCAGTAATATGAGAGTCATGAATATCTTAAATGATCTTTGTGCGAAGAGGTTCTAAGTTTGGAACCCAAACTCAATCGCGGAAACAAAGAAGACCTCGCTCATCCACAGTACACTCAGTAATACTAACAGTTTTCTCCTTCTAAAGGTAAGTAGGCAAGTTTCTTTCGTCCCTGGCCACATACATTATGAGTTGTCGGTAGAGTTCATCCTTTCGAGCTTCATGCCATAGGGTCTGTAGTTCTTAGTCTTCAAAAAGCCGTACTTCCTCTTCAAAGTTGATTTCCTCAGGTTTCGCCGGGCCCCATCGATGCGATGTGCGCACTCTTGAGGTGTTCGGACTGGAACATCTTCATGAACCTAGCCTTCAACCGTTCATCGCTACCGTCTGCTGGGAGGTCCTGCCCCTACGAGACAGGGCATCAGGACGCCCCAAGCTCTTGCCTGGCCTCCACTCCAGAGTGAAGTTGAACCTGGCGAGGTACTCGGACCAACGCACTTGCCTCTCAGTAAGCTGCTTCTCAGAATAAAAGTACCTTAAGTTCTTATGGTCTGTAAGAATCGTAAAGTGCTTAACTGCCTGCAACTCGGGCTGCCATGCTTCAAGGCAGCGTATAATAGCAAGGAGCTCCTTATCATGGATGGGGTAGTTGGCTTCAGCAGGAGAGTGCTTCTTCGATAAGTAAGCAACAGGGCGCCAAATGCTATGGTCATCTTTCTGTAGCATCAGTCCTCCTGTAGCGTAACCAGATGAATCAGCCTCGACCATAGTTTCTCTCTCCGG